AGGCATCCAAGTTAGAAAGGAGAAATAAAATTATCTCTGTTCACAAGTAGTATAATTTTGTATCTGGTAAACACTACAGATTCGTCAAATAAGCTGTTTCAATAAATAAATTCAGCAAATTGCAATACAAAATCAACACATAAAAACCAGTCACTTTTCCACACACTAACAATGAACAGTGTGAAAAGGAAATTAAGAAAATAAGTCCATTTAAAACAGCATTTAAAAAGAATCAAATATTCAGGAATAAACATAACCAAAGACAGAAGAGACACACAATGAAACACTGCTGAAAGAAATTAAAGATATCAATAAAGAGACATATCACATTTAGGACCCAAAGACTTAAAATATAAACACTGTTCAAAGCAACCCATATATTTAAACACAATTCCATCAAAATTCTCATTTTTGTTTTGCAAAAGTAGGAAAACCTATGCAAACATTCAATAAATTTGGTAGAACTGTAATTGGTAACTCCAAGGCCAGGGATAACTTCCAGACAGAGAAAGCCTTGGGAGAGGAAAGAGGCAATTTATTACAGTGTTTTTTTTCTCCCTCAGGAACCCTCATAGGAGCCTTCTAATTCCTAGAAAAAGTAGAAAGTCAGGTCTTTCATCCATTCACTGAACATTTTTTGTCTACAGTGCACCTTTCCAACCTCCCCACCCCCATGCTAGGGCTCAAACCAAGCTTCTAACATGCTACACAAGCACTCTATTGCTGAGCCACATCCCTGGCCCTACCACGTGTCCTTTTTGGCGGCGGGGGTAAGGGGTACCAGGAATCAAACTAAAGACCTTGTGTTTGTCAGATAGGCACTTATGCCATTGAGTTATAACCCCAGCCCCCTACTATATGCCTTTTTTGTTTTTGTTTTTGTTTTTTTTTTGGTTTTTTTCTGGTACCGGGAACCGAACTCACGACCTTGCACTTGCCAGGCAGGTGCTGTGCCGCTGAGCTAAATCCCCAGCCCCCTACTATGTGCCTTTGAAGAATCTATTATATAAGAAAAGTTGTGGCTGGCTGTCCTGTACTTGAGTGTCCCCTTCCAAATAAAGAAAGTTAATCTAGAGCCCAAGCAAATGTTCACTGTGATGTTGAGGCTTTGCGGCAGAGGCTTACCTGAAAAAACTGCCTGCGTGGGAAATCATCTTATGTTGCCTGGTATAGAATTCCAGGCCCCTATGCTGAGATTGTGTTTCAGTAGTTCTTAACTTTCCTTTGTGATACTTTTCAACCAGGTGGGCTCCAATAAAACCTTGTTTTCTAGAAGCCAGACTGGAGCTTTAAACTTCACAGGAAGCAGACCTAGTCCTTAGAATCCAGTCTTTTATTTCAATACCTAAACTATGTAATATTATGTTGACTGTGAAAGCAGTGTGTCTCAGCTAAGGTATATTCTGCTCCACAGGAGGACCATTTGGCAATATCCAGAAGCATCTGTAAATGTCACAACTAGAGGGTGCTATTTGCATCCAGTAGGGCATCTGTAAATGTCACAACTAGAGGGTGCTATTTGCATCCAGTAGGTTGAGGTCAGAGCTGCTGCTAAACATCCCCCAACGCACAGAACAGCGAGGTCACCACCACCACCCTCCAAACATAATTATCTGTCACAAAATATCAGTAGTGACAAGGCTGAGAAATCCTCCCGGAATTTAAAAGAAGTAGACTCCAGAGTAACACATTGTTGCCAGGTATTTTCCCCACCTGAGAAGTAGATAAAGCCAATCTGTGCTACAGGATAGAGGAAACTTGAAAGAGCTTAGTTTTCAAGAAATAAAGGTTAGCTGGGCGTGGGGGCGCATGCCTGTAATCCCAGCACTCAGGAGGCTGAGGCAAGAGGATCACTGCAAGTTCGAGACCAACCTGGGCTACAAAGTGAGCTCAAGGTCAGCTTAAACTGCATAGCGAGACCCTGTCTCAAAAAGACAGAAAAAAAAAGGAAGAAACAAAGGTTCCCCTACTTGTCCCATAGCTGAGTCTACTTCTTTTAAATTCTGGCCAGATTTCTCAGCCTTGTCACTATTGATATTTTGTCCCTCAGCTGGGACAAAAAAGGTATTAAAAGTAAGTGTAATCAGCCTATAGATGATACTCAGGGCACACACTCTGAGAAGGATCAGAATTCTTTGATGAAATAGCTTTCCTGGACAAACCTCAGTCAGTTACTTAGTTCTACCACCACCCATGGGATACAAAAAGTTTTCTTTTTCAAAGGTCATAACTCTAAGGTCAGCCCTTCCCCTTTTACTTCTGTAAACTTCTCCCCAGGCCCCACCCGCATCACCTAGCTGCATGGCACATGCAGCCAGACACCTACGGTGCATAGCACGACTATGTGAGGGAGTTGCAGCACCTGGCTCTACAGCAGGGGCTGTATACCCATGCATACTTGTATAAGATGACGAAATGTCCCCTTGGCCTCGGAGTGTCCCAGTATACACTACTGTCCTGACATAATTAACACAACTCCCTCTTCACTCTCAAAAGGGGCAGGAGATATGTAAGAGGAGCCTGGGACGTTTTGTTATCCCAAGAAGCGAAGAAGCTGTCGGTAGTTAGGGCTGTGACAGGAGGAATGAGAAGCCAAGGGAAAAAGGCTACCACTGGCCAAAGATGAAATATTCTGAGCATCAAATTTGAACTGCATCAAATGTAACTGTATCCAATGTTTAAATTCATGAATGCACTGATTTTTTAAAAATTGATCACCTACCCCTGAAATAGCTCAGTGGCTGTGTGTTTGCCTAACATGTATCAAGCCCTCGACTTGATTCCAGGCACTGCCATTAAAAGGGAGTGCAGGGTTTTGCCTTTACAAGAACATAGCAACCAGGTCGCTGCTGTGAAAACAAGTAAATAAAGGGAAGATCAGGCATTTTTTCCTGCCAAGCTCATATACGCTAAATGTGAAGTATCTAAATTGTAAACGAGAGGAAACTTCTTAGAGAAGTATCCCAGTTACTAAGTGAAGAATCATTTACTGGACTGATGACACACACAGAACCAGCTCTTCACAGCATATGAAGAGAAACAACCAGACAGGCCACCGTCATAACGTGTCCTTGGCAAAATGTGAAAGATGAATCAGATTACACCTTTAGACCTCTACATTTTCAGTTAATACAGAGAGCAGAGAAATATGTTAGATAATGTTATGGAGATCCAAACAAAATTTAGAATATTTTGAAATACATAGGATAATCTAGTGTTTTCAATGACTACATTTCAAGAAAAAAAAAAAAAAGGATAGTAACTATAAATTGCAAGACTTAGAAGTCTAAGCAACAAATTGTTTTAAAAAGTTTTTAAAAGCATTCAACATTACTTGGATGTTTTGAAATTAAAAGAATTGTTCGTTTTTTTAGGTGTAACAGTACTACGGTTATTTTTTTAAGAGTTTCTACCTTTTACAGGCATACACTGAAATATTTACAAATAACATTTGGGATCTGCTTCAAAACACTTCAGTGGGGGAGGGAGAAGTAGGTGGAGATGAAATAAGATTGGCTGAGTTTAGAACAAAGTCAAATGATGACATGAGGATTCACTCACATATATCTCTAAATTTCTACTATAAAAATATTTTTAAAGAATATAAAAACAGAAAATATTTGCTGACAGTTGAACAGATATCAAAAATAAAGTTACTACAGTTCAATGGGGAAAACTCCCTTTTAATAAAGGCCTCTGTAGTAGACATTGTCCATAAAGTCTGGCCGCACAGCAGACATGCAAGAGGTCACACTGGCAAGACAGCAAATTTCAGCTCTTCCTGTAGCTTCTCTCAAGAGATTCTTGCTGAAAACCCAGAGGCCTGTTTGGTTAAGTGCACGATCAAAGTAAATCAATAATTTAATTCAGGTAAACACACAAACCACTGACACGGTGGCCTCATGGTCCCTGCCTGGCTGTGGGATACAATTTCCTGAGAAGGCCATATTTGGGCCTGGTCAGGCCCAGATCCTGTGAATTCTGTATATAGGTCTTAGTAACAGCAGCAGCCCTGTGTATGTGTTTCACATAACACACTCTGGTTAGCACAGCCTTATGGCCATAGCTGCTAAGAGGTTAGGAGGGTCATAAGTGGTAAAATTATGTTTCAAAGTCTACTGAGTAATACAACTCTGTCAGTCATACCATTTACCTTTCTTTTAGTGCACAATGGAAAAAAAGAAAAACTCAGCAAAAGAATATGGCATTACGAGGCACCATGTGACAATCATACCTTTCAATAGTATACTGTCAGCAAAAGGCCAGCTTACTCAGTGTTCAAAGGCACAGCCTAAAAGTAACACAACAGTGCAGTTCCAAAACGTTAAAGAGCAAGAAACCCTTTAGTAATGGCAAAATAACATTTTTTAAAAACTTGAACACAGAAATACTCTATCTTCTCACTTTTGAAGGAAATGTATTTCTTAGATGCCTACAAACATCTTCATGTTCCTCAAGTCAGCACTACTACCTCACCATCTCAACTAATTAGTGGTGTCCAGAATCATGAGTGTCTTAGATTACAAGGGTCCAGATGAAGCAGGGACAGAAGTTTTTTAGCAACAGAGGTAAGTGGTGAAATAATGCAGGACAAGAAGCTGCCAGGACCAAGAATACCTACTCAGGCCCAGACAGTTCACAGGAGTATCCATGTGTTCAAAGGACCAAGTACACTGACCAACATGTTAATCTTCAGTGTCAAGGATTTCTCCCCCAATGTGTCCCAGGCACCCAGATTTCCTGGCAGATTGCAAGCCTTCAATAAATACTTAGGGAATAAATCAGATGAGAACATACAGATCATTTTCTTTACTGTGAAGTACCACCAAATCTAGGGCATTAATACTAGCCAGGTATGATGGCGCATGCCTGAAATCCCAGCACTCAGGAGGCTGAGGCAGAAGAGAGTTTGAGGCCAGCCTGGGCCATATAGTGAGTTCAAGGCCACCTGAACTGCATAGTGAGGTCCTGTCTCAAAACAAACAAACAAAAAATACTAGTACGTCTTTCAAGGTCATTTAATCACACCTTTGTACAGAATCAAAGATTTCTTTAAAAATAATCTCATGTTTATTCAGTGATTGATAGCAAAATATTAATTTCCTAATGGCTGATGTGTTGACAGTTGTTATAGTACAACGAATAATGGAATGGGGAAATATTACAGATGAGGGTAGCATGGTACAATCAGAGATAAAGGAGGCTACAAATAAACAAAATAAACAAAGCGCATGACAGAAGATCCCAAGTGGGGCGGGGGGAGGTGAGATCTAGCATGGGAGCAGCTGGCAGAATGACAGCACGTGCTAAGATTTTCTCCAGTGGCCCTTACCACAACATAAACACACTCCGGAGCACTTGGGGTTACTGATTGCTTCGGGTCTGTGGTTCCCACTACCACAGCCTCAGCTCCAAGACAACAAGGTCTCATCTATCCCATTCACCATGGTATTCTCAGCGAAAGGAGCACAGGAGTAAAGAGAGGCTGTGGGAGAGTCTGAGCTAATGATCTTGGAGAAGGGGATGGATCCTTCAGAAAAACGAGCTTTGGAGCTGCCCACTTGAGACACAATTCTTCCCTTACTACTGAACTTGATCAAGAGATAGATTTGAACACCCCACTGCTGGTGAAAAATCCCCAGCCTGACCTGACACTCAAGATACTGTTTCCCTAAAAGATGGTAAGGAAAACTGTCGCCACTGCCTGGACAGAAGGTGCGGGCAGCTGTGGCCTCTGAAAGCCCTGGATAAAGCAGGTCTTGCTCTCTTCCTGTGTTTGGTAGCACACAGAAAGAAAGTGGGCCCGAGTGCCTTTCCACGGCCACCACTGCACATCTCCCAGCACTTCCCCAGGAGGAAAGACACCTTCGTGGCGGAGCTCTCCTCCACACAGCATCCTCATGGCACTGAGGGCTCCTGGCGATGCTGGGTCTTCTGGTGCCGGTTGAGGATGGACCTCTGGTTGAAGCTGCGCCCGCAGGCCAGGCAGTGGTAGGGCTTCTCCCCCGTGTGGATCCTCTGGTGACGGACCAGCCGCTCCCCTTTGCTGAAGCGCTTCCCACACACCTGGCACCCATAAGGCTTCTCGCCCGTGTGGGCGCGTCGGTGCACAGCCAGGTTGGCGTTCCTGCTGAAGCTCTTGCCGCACTCGCACGTGTAGGGCTTCTCGCCAGTGTGCGTCCTCCGGTGCACCTGCAGGTGCTGCCTGCGGCTGAAGCTCTTCCAGCAGTCCCCGCACTTATAGGGCTTCTCCCCAGTGTGGCTCCGCTGGTGGACCTCCAGGTGGTGTCTCTGGCTAAAGGTCTTCCAACACTCATTGCACACAAAGGGCCTCTTTCCCAGGTGGGTCCGCTGATGTTTCATGAGGTACTCCCTCAGGGTGAAGCCCTTCCCGCATTCCATGCAGCCATAGGACTTCTCCTCCTCATGGGTTCGCTGGTGTCTGACCAGATTAGAGCTCCGGCTGAAGCCTTTGCCACACTCAGGGCACTGGAAAGGCTTCCAGAAGGAGTTGTGAGTTTTGAGGTCATCGGGCAGGGGGACGCTGTGCTGGGACACAGGAGGCACAGGCAGGCCACCCCCGGAGGCCCTGGGCTCCTGTTCACAGGCTTGTCCCAGGCCAGGACCCTGGACAGCCGTGTCTCCAAACCTCTCTGAAGTCAGCCCGGCGAACGCCCCTTTGAGGTCTTCCTGCTGTGACTTTGCTTCCTTTTCCTTGCTCCCAACATCTACAGGAGAAAAGAGATCAACACGGACTCCACGGTGACTCATAAAGAAAATATACACGTTAGAACTCTGCTTCCATACATGTCCCATAAACAGCTCCTTTTCTTGTTTTCCCTTGACCAACATTCGCAACACTCTTCACCTCCGGACCCTAAATTCAGGCCTTCCTTTACTTCTTCCCACCTCCCTGCCCTTTTACAGAACAGTCTGCCAAATTTTAACGCCCTCCCACTTAACTCTCCGCTAATTCAGACTTTCATCCCCTTCAAAATCTAAGTCAGTGGTTTCCTGGTTATTCTTTTTTTTTTGTCTTTTTGAGACAGGGTCTCGCCATGCAGTTCAGGCTGGCCTTGAACTCACTTTGTAGCCCAGGCTGGTCTCAAACTCACAAGGATCCTCTTGCCTCAGCCTCCCGAGTGCTGGGATTACAGAGGTGCACCACCATGCCTGGCAATCCTGGTTATTCTTTTCCTTGGCCTTTTCTACACTGATACACTCAGTTGATACTGATTTATTTTGCACTTATTTACATGTGATGTTGTGGCAAACACTAATTTATATTCATCTATAATTCTGCCTTCCCATAATGATTATAAAGCCACCCCAGCTACCGGACAGTGTGTAGTTCTCCAAGTCCTCAACCCTTGTTCAGCTCCCCAGCCCTGCACACTGCTCCTGCCACCTTACCAGGGATCGATGACTCTGGAGTCAAGGGGAATGAGGGAGACGCCTGCTAAGTGCTGGCTGAACGAATGAGCCCAGTCTTTCCCCACAGCTCCAGCTGCAGACCACCTCTATGCGGGGTAGCACTAGGCAGCCCCAACTTGACCTTTCCATCCTCATTCTGATCCCTCTTATACTCTCTCTAAATTAACAGAACAGTTGTTCACGGAGAATAAAGGAAAGAGGAGGAGGAAACAGAGGAGACATGGTGTAGGGGAACAAAGAACCCAAGAGAAAACAAAAACAAGAAATGACAAGCAGGGCCAGGGATATAGCTCAGCAGCACAAGCTCCTGCCTGGCAAGCGCAAGGTCCTGAGTTCAAATCCTGGTACTAAAAAAAAAAAAAAAAAAAAAAAAAAACAAAGAAAAAAGGAAATGACAAGCAGTGCTTAAAGGAGAAGAGAGATCTTTCAGGAAAAACCATTAGAAGATAAAAAGAAACTGACATTTCAGGCTCCCTGGCTGATAAAATATGAAGTACATAGCTATCACTTTTGATTTATTCTTTGTTTCATAAACCTTTCATAAAACAGTAAAAACAAATGTAGAGCTCAAAGAATTTTCATAACAACCATATAAACAGTTTCCAGCTCAAAAAACAGAACAGTACAGATGGAAACTGAGTCTTACCTGGAGAGACCCCACAGTCCTGAGGTTCCACGTATTCCCCGAAACAGTCAATCTGGGCTGGGGTCACGTGTCTCCACTCCTCCTCAGGGAAGGCCAAGGCCATGTCTTTAAAGGGTGCCAACCCCTGAAACAATACTGTGGATAAATAAAGATCCCTAAAGAGCAGTCTAACAGCAGCAGTGAACACAGAAAACAGAGGGCTGAGCAGAGCAAGAAAGGCAGAAAGAATCTGCCACTGGGTGGTCTGGGAGCAGAAGCATCTACCTCTCCATAATTTAAGGGAAAGCAACTGGGTTTTTTCGTGTTTGTTTGCTTGTTTGTTTGTCTGTTTTGAGACAAGGTCTCACTATGTAGTTCAGGCTGGCCTTGAACTCCCTGTGTAGCCGAGGCTGGTCTTGAACTGGAGGAGATCCCCCTGCCTCAGCCTCCTGAGTGCTGGGATTACAGGTGAGCCACCACACCCAGCTTAAGGTAAAGCAATTGATTCATCTTAGACTCTGCTGCAGCAGCACTGCTTGCTCCCAACAACCCCAGCATCACATCCATTCAGTCACCTGCACTTGCCCCTCAAGTTTCAGAGACTGGGCAATGCCTCGTGACCCTCAAGCCTCATCGTAAAGAACAGCACCATGGGGGGCTGGGGATTTAGCTCAGCGGCAAAAGCGCCTGCCTGGCAAGCGCAAGGTCGTGAGTTCAGTTCCCGGTACCGGAGAAAAACCAAAAAAAACAAAACAAAAAAAGAACAGCACCATGTTAAAAGAAACGCGTTCTCATTTTCTCATTCACTATACCATGAAGAACCCCTCCGGTAAAAGAAAAAGATCTGGCAAAATGAAAGGACGAGAACATCACTCTTCATCCCCCGCAAACTGTGTCCTCGGAAAACAGGAAGGGAGAATGGAGTGAGCGTCAAGCCTTGCTCAACTAAGGCTTTGCCTCAGTCAGGCTTAACTTGCCTTTTTTCTACCAATCAATGCCTTTTCTTCATCAAGCCCTTTCTAACTCTTCCCCTTCAGACAGGTGCCCCTCTAGGAGCCCACCTCCCTGGTAGCACCCAGCAACCCTGTGGAAGACGTTTAAACTATGGCAGGAGTGCCCATCTATACCCTCCCTACCCCCAGGCAAGGCAGGTTTGCAAGTGCTACCAAGGTCCCAATTCCTGGACTGGCAAATGCAGGCCCAAAAACACTGCCCAGCACCCTAAAAGCCCCACCCTTGGCCAGCTGCTTCTCACTGACATCACTGGAGGAGGAGTAGCAGCAGAAGCAGCCACAAAGAGCACCATCTCTAGGCCAACCACTGGGCCAAGACAGGCCTACGAAAACTTCCTCACTCTTCTTCTTCATAATGAGAAAGGCAAATACCTCTGTGTCACTCTGCGATAAGGCTCAGTGCAGATTAACAGCTGGAAGATGGTGGCAAAGTGGAGAACACGACAGGGCCACGCCATCAGAACTAGCAAGGCAGTGACTCAACTTTGTGGGTGGCACTCTGCTGTGCAGGGAAGCCTTGGGGAGGCCGCATGTCTGTCAAAACACCATGACCTCCAAGAGGGCAGAGTCACAGCTCACCTGCGATCCCGCTGTAAGAAATCCAGCTGCCATCTCTTGTTCTCTGGTGCCAACTGGGGGAAGGCTGGGGCCTGCCTGAAGTATCGGCAGTGCTGAGGGAGGACAAAAACCGAGGAAAGGATCAACACTGCCATTCGTCTGCCCACTCAAAGGCATCCCCACCCAACCCACAGCCTCGGTCTACAGACTTCAGACAGAATCGCTTAGAGCCACATGGACCCACAGAGCAGTGTAGATGTTGCCTGCCCTAATCTTGGCTGAGGAACAGGGCTATTCACGTTCCTTGGCCATACTTCGAGATGACCTCCTTTGAGATCCATTAACAGAATAAAAACCCACATTACTTTGAGACATGCGGTTTGCCCACTTAGTAAATATTTCCACTTGTCAGCTGCATAGCTCTGGCTGTTTCTAGAACAGATGTGTGGGAAAGGAGAAGAAACGATAAGACAACATGACTCCCTGGTCATACTCTCCAGAAATCAGAATCGAGGTAGAAAACATTTCTTCTGTGTCCTACTAAGGTCCACGAAGTAGGCAGAAAAATTCAGAATTACACTACGCAGGCAAGAGTACCCATTGCTGGGTTTCTGAAGCAAATGAGTGGGAGGACGGCTGCAGAGCACAGTGCTCCATGCCTCCCACCCTTGCTCTCTGCATCTTACCCTGCTCCTGGAAGGCCTGTGTCCCATCTCCAGGGTTCTGACTCAGTTGCTCCTCGGTGCTCTGGTCTAAGCCTTGAACTCCTTCCTCGCGGGGCATCCCCCACTCAGGCTTGACATCCACCGGCCCCAGGTGGACACCTGGCTCCCAAGCACCTCTGCCAATCACTGTCTCCTGCTGCTCTCCCTGCACATGGCATGGAACCTAAGAACAGTTCCCAACACCAGTTAGAAGGAGGCTTAGTGAAGGCTAGGAAAAAAATTGAATTAAAACCTAAAAAGAGAACTAAGAAAAGAACCATTCTGGCTTTAGGGAAGAGGAAAGAAAAGCTGACTGAGCTTTTCTCAAGGACATAGGTGAGGCAGGGAAACAGAGGCTAAAATCCCTTTTGCAGGCCCTGAGCAACCTGTGTCTGTCTACGCCATTTCACAAGGGTCCCTCTGTCCACCTTGACACTGACCAAATTTCCCTTACCATCCCTGAGCCCAAATATTATCCTGCTGAGCCCTTTAGCACTATATATTCACCACTAGAAAACAAATGTCCACGCTCCAGAAGCTGAAAACTTAAAAATGCAAAGCCTATACTTTGCAGTGAATTAGACAGTGAGGAACAGCTGCTCTACATAAAGCAAGGACAGTCAGGAGGCCTCCTCTGCTGAGACGGGCTCACAAAACCAAGGCCCTTCCTTGTCAGCTCTTAGGCTCTGGAGTTGAGAGTAGAAAACAAATTCTCTTAGGACTCTACAGGAAGACAGGAAGCAAGGGCTGAGGGCAGTATGGGAGGGAGGCCAGGCTGCAGAATGCCTGGGACTTGCCCTCCTTTCCCAGCCCTCAGTCAGGTGACTGTACCACACAGTGAAGGAAACATGGCCAGTCTCGAGGCAGCATCTGTGGTGCAGTCAGTTGTGTCATCAGAACAGCACCGCATAATCACTACAGGAACCCTATGAGCCAAGGTTCCAGACATGGAAACAGCACAACTATGGACAACTCATACGAAGAGTATTCATCAAGTAGGATTCCCTGCATTCCCACAGGCAGCTTCCTCCGAGTGGGGCTGGTTCTACAGAGGGCCCTGAAAACAATCATAACTGCCTTCTTGGGGCATGAGGCTCAACAAGGAAATAGGACCAGGCCTCTGCCCTGATGCCCAAAGGTTTTAGGCTCTCTGCATACCAGCATCGTTCCCGGGAACAGCTCTTCTTGCTAAAGACCCCAGTGCTCTCAGGGAATCAGAGAGCAAAGAAAGAGGTTCTACATCTCATCTATCCCCACTGCTTCTTCAAGCCTCTTCAAGCCTCTTCATTCTTTAATGCCCACACCATCAGCATAAGACCCAGATACCCTCTTCTCACCCACCGCCTTGGTGTCCAGCGTGCTGTTGGTCAAGTCCTGCACCATAGCCACCAGGGCCTTGCTGCTCTCCGGGCTGTGTTCTCGAATCCAGGCATAGAACTCCCGGGGCAGGATGGTGAGGAACTGCTCCAGCACTAGCAGCTCCAGGATCTGCTCCTTGGTATGCAGCTCAGGCCGCAGCCACCGGCGACAGAGCTCTTGGAGCTCCCTGAGGGCTTCCTGGGGACCTGCTGCTTCCTGGTAACGGAATTGCCGAAATCTCAGACGGAAAGTCTCAGGACTAGAATCTTCCTGTCCCCGGCCCCACAGCAACTCTTTCTCCAGTTTCACCACAGGAACACCCATTCGATGCTGAGGATCTTCTGCCATCCCTGGACACTCTTTAAGCATCTTCACACTCCGTCCCCAAAGACTGAAGATGACAGCACAAGTGAGCCTTCTGAGAACATAAACACACAGAAGGGTGGTCCTGTGTCTACACAATGAATATTCTGCTGGAGAACATGGTAATAACCTGCTATCCGGTATTTTTTCAAAAGGCTTAACATATTTCCTGATGGTCATGTCAATTAAACACAGTATTTACTAAACACCTATTGGGTACTGAAAAGGCTTAAGATTTATCACCCATAAATAGCTCAGGATCTCTTGGAGATGATAACTCTGCAACAGGAAATAGTATAAAATGGGTTATAAGTAAGTTAGTACCAGGGCCCACCCTAAAGGAGGGGCCAGGGATATAGATTAGTGGTACAAGCATCTGCCTGGCAAGTGCAAGGTCCTGAGTTCAATTCCTGGTACAAAAAAAAAAAAAACCAAACTGTTAACACTAAAGAAAACATGCATACAGACACCCAGTCATGCACTGCATATAGATTATATGACAGTGGGCCCATAAGATTATAACAGAGCTAAAAAATTCCTATCATGTAGTATCACAGTTTGCTTGATAATAACATACAACTATGCTACTGGCTTAATATTTACTATATTATGCTTTCAATCATTATGTTAAAGTGTACTCCTTCTACTTATTAAAAAATTCACTGTAAGACAGTACACTCTGCTTTGCCAACAGCAGCCTCATACAGTACTGTACTTCTTGACTGTATCACAAGGCCATGTTAATTAACTTAGACTATCTAGGTTTAGGTAAGTACATTCAGGAGCATCTATACAACAATACATTTCTCAGAACATGTCCTATCATTAAGCAATGCATGCCCCTGTGTGTGTGTGTGTGTGTGTGTGTGTGTGTGTGTGTACGCTCCCTCTCAAACATGCAGAAACTAGCGCTTGCCCTCTTGAAATTCGTATAATGCAGTAGACAGAAAAAGCAAAAGAGCAACTACATTAAAAACTGCAAGCAGAAACAAGTTCTCGAAAGGAAATAACTGGTCTGTTAGTGGGGCCAATGGGCTTGGGTAACACTCTTCTGAAGACATGATACTTAGCCCACAAATTAAAGGAAGAGTGGGAGCCAGTCATTCAGAGTACTCCAGGCAAAAGCCTTGAGGTTAGAAATTATTTTACATGGCTTGGAATGTGAAGGTGTACTCAGCCGAAAGACAACAGAGCTAAGGTCTGCCTCCCAAAAAACAACGAGATGATATAGATATATAATATATGAAACACGAGAAATTTAAAAAGGAAAATGATTAATGTAAGTTCAAGTATTCTTGAGGAACAGGGTTATAGTAGATGGAAGATGAGTCCTATTTACCTCCATGGGGAGGTTGCTGCGGGGAGGAAGGCTGGGGAGACAGACCTTAAGTCCAAAAATCACTCTGATTGGTCCAGAGAATGAACAACTGGCAGGAGGCACGCCCCAAACTTCTGCCAAATATTCTATTGGTTATTTGTGTGTTTATACACACACACACACACACACACACACACACACTTAAATCGATTTTGCATTTTCAGCCCACAGTATCCATTTTCTCTGTTGCATTGAGATTTCTCTTTCATGACTTTCTAGCTGCTGCATCTGCTCGTCCCACCAATGCACTTAATGCACTGCAGTGCCAACGTTTACCAGGGTCTCCGTACACCAGATTCCCTTTTAGGCAAGAGAGGTCTTCATCCTTCGCCCCCAGCACCGGAAAAACAGCAGGCACTGCGTGCCTGTTTTGTAAATGACTGTGCTACGTCTCGTTCTACAACGATTACTTTCACTTTGCTCGAAGGGTTCAGCCTCGCTTCAAGACCTCGGGTTCGCGGACGTCCTGCGTTACTTAGGCCATGCCTGGCGGGGCAAGACGAGCCTCGCTCCTACCTGAGCCTACAGCGGCGCGGCCCATCCGAGTCGCCACCCGCGGGGCCTCATCCCACAGCCGCACCACAGCCACACCACAGCCCGGCCGCGCAGACCGCCGAGCGCCGCGACCGCAGCCCGTCCGCCAGGCGCTCACCCGCGGCCCCGCGGCCCCGCGCCCACACCCGAACCCGCCCCACGATCCTCTGAGCCCACCGCGGACAGGAAGTGAGCGGCGGACACCGTCAGACAGGTGCGCACAGAGAAGTTTCCTTCCGTCTCCTCTCTAGGACTCTCGGAGGTCTCAGAGGTGCGTCTCGATGGTCGCGATGGTCGGGCTGGTCGCTCGTCCTCCGCTAGGCTAACTGTACCCCTCGAGGCTATCGGTCCCTGGCGCCTTTCTACCTCTGTGCCTTTCCCCCTGTATTTTCTCTGTGGAAAAGACTCAGTGTGCGTCCAGACACACGATTGGACAACGGCGCCCCTCGAGTCGCTAAAAGTCGGTCAAAACGCGGGTGAGGCTGGGCGTGGTGGCGCACGCCTGTAATCCCAGCATTGGGAGGCTGAGGCAGGAGAATTGCTACAAGTTTGAGGCCAGCCTGGGCTACATAGTGAGTTCAGGGGCAGCTTGAACTATACAGCGAGACCCTGTCTCAAAAAAA